GTGTGCTTTTCACAGTCCTGCACCTTTAGCTTATTACAACATTTCTGCAGTGCTTTATTGATCACATCTACTCTCAATTTCTACGTGGCGTTTTTGAAAAGTTATCCCTGTGGATTAACATGTTGTTCCTTCTTTTAGTTTAACTAGTCAAAGATTAAGCACTAACTTTGATTTTATTTTTTTCCCAATTGATTTGCTAGTTGAACAAAGGGTCTTTGTTTCAGGACGTTGAGGACAGCATACACTTCCCACAGAGCAGGTGAAAGTCCATCCCCCATTGCCTTACAACAGGATTAAAGAAACTAAACTCCATGTATACTTATGAGAGATGGGTGGCCTCTGAGCACAGTAGAAGCTACTGCTCCTTTCATGACACTGACCAAAAATCTGCGTTTGAGGCAAGCCAGATGCTGAGGAAGTTGTCGTTCATGTTTGATGAAAGTCTCAGTTCTGTTCCTGGGAAAAACTGGTCTCTGCCACAGGATCTGCCACTTTATCCTTATCGACAGCTTCAGGGGGGCCAGAGGCAGCCAAATCTGTTTACATCCCAGGGCAGCTTGATTTGCTGTACCTGACCTGGGTAAAGATAGCAGGCCAGCACATGGGAAAGGTCTGTCTGCTTGACAGACTCTCCCTTCCAGATGAAGTGTCTGTGTATGTCATGCCATGTATCATCAGCACCGTCTGTTCCTTCCGTGCAGGGATGTCTTAGACATTTTTCCCACCTTCTCCCCCACTCCCTGTTGATGAGAGGAGGTCTTTGGGGCTTGCAGATTAAACTTCCATTATCCATGTACTCTGCGTTTCCCAAAAGCACTCTGCAGTGAAGTCCTGCTTAGGGAACCCCTGATGTTCAGCGTGCGAACGGAGACGTTTCACTAACTGTATGTCCTGCCAGAGGGACAGAGCTCTGCTCAGAGCAGATCACTGGGGCAGGAGAGGGAAGCCGCGGAGGTGCGAGCTAGCCTGTAAGGCAATGCTAAAGCACCAAAGCAAGCAGGTAACGGGGTGCTCTGTTGGTTTGAGGCGTACATAGCGCCTCTGGGGGATTAGAAGTTAGCAGCGTGTTTGGTCTTCAAAGAAGAGGCATCAGCCTCCCACACTGGGCTTCTGTTGCATCCCATAATTAAATCTCTGTTGTTTCTTTGGCTATTCATTTACTGAAGAACAGTTTTTAGTATCAAGGGGGATAGCTCTTCTTTGATATTACTTAAACATTCTGAGTGTGTGTGTGTAGGGACAATAAATGCTTTTTCCTTACCCTTTTCAGCTTAATAAGAGTAATCAGAAGCAGACGTGACAGGTATTCATTGACTTACGGGACTCCTACACATTGGTGTGATTGAGCTGTGGCTCTGTGCTGTTACACTTAGGCAGGTTTCCAAAAACGGTAGGACTTTTAGTGATCAGTAGCTGAAACCATAAAATGAATGTTCACTTCAGAATTTTTAACTGGGAGCACAAAACGTTTTTCTTTTCAATTACAGCATGCTTTATAGACTCAAACTTCTTCCTCTGCAGAAGGATGGTTCAGCCCTCTGACCCTTCTGGAACAGAGGCAGGAGCCAGTCGTGCTTTGTCTAATGCATCAATTTATCACAAGCAAGTGCAAGGGCTGTTTTGAATATCAAAATAGATTTCCCACTGTATTTTCTGTGACCCAGTAAAACAGTACTAAGGGAAAAAATGTCCAAGATTAAAATTCTTAATACTCCAGAAAATGGGATTCTGTTGGTGACACCATTCCTTATGAAGTTTAAAAGAAAGCTGCTATTTCAGTTGAAGATTTAAAGCATGCACACTTCTGCTTTCCTCTTAAATACAGTGTATTTTCTTTTCCTTAATAGAATCAATTCAGTGTAATATTATTCTTCATATCTATCTAGCTCAGGAAGCGGGAGGTTTTGTATTTCAGTAATGAAGAAAAACGTTTCAGGAGATGTACGAGGTATAGTCTAGCAGAGGGACAGTTGATAAGAGTGTAGTAATCTCTGCTTTCTGAAGGGTTGGCACTGTTGTCAGGCTCGTGGTAGAGGCCTGGCTTCTAAAAGCTGCGAGCCATGGCAGTCGCGAAACCACTTGTCATTGCTGCGGCTGAATGGATGTATTTGTGGAGTTGTTTGCAGTTGGGTTTTGGTGGATTTTTTGTTGTTGTGTTACAAAATCAATAATTAACTGCTGTAAAAGCCAGTTGGGTTGTAGACTGTGTTCTCTACTGAATTGGATGGGGGGAGCATTTGGTTTTTCCGATAAACGATTCTTTGGTTTTGCTTCAATAAGGTTGAAGCACTTCCTTTCAGCAGCACACTTTCATTCCAGCATGGAGGGCTTCAGAAATTTTTTCATCAAGATTAGATTAAATCGACATTCCTGACAAACATCATTATTGCACTAATTCAGCATTTTCCAGTGGAAAACTACTCCATGAGAAATTTAAAACAGATCCGGTAGCTAGGAACACAGACACTGCCAGACTTTTTAGCTTTTTCTAGTAGCTTCACAGGCATTTAAATAAAATTACTCTTGCTTCTATATGAGACCTCATTTTCTTTTGAATTATGAAGTGACTTAATGAAAGAGTTAATTAGGTGTTGATGCCGGACCATTAAGTAAATAACAAACAAATTCAGGCATAAGGCGTTGTAACTACCACAGTCAAGAGGAGGAAAAGAATTTTGCATTTTCTGATGTTGGCAAATGGATTTTAATACAGTTTCAAAATAGATTGAGAGGTTTTTTGACCATGTATGCATGTTTTTGAGCAGTCTTAGCTTTAAGCTGTAGTCTAAATGTGTTTGGGACTCAAGTGAATTAAGGCAAAGAAAAGTGAGTCGGGACGAAAGGACTGTAAGTCAGTATGTGTTGTGGTCTCAGCTATATATTTTCTGGGTAATTCTACTGATTGGGGATTTCTCTTTGAAGAATGAGAGGTTTATTGTTTACTGTAGTGTGGATTCATTTCTGGGAAAATAATGCAAGCAGAAGGGGTGCAGTCACAGCTTAAATTGTAGAGATTCAGTAAACTAGTTCATTTCTAAACACCAAATATCAAGAGGAAATTTGCTTTTGTGCATTTTTGAAAAGTAAGCCCTTATTGCGTCAAAGGTAGAGCAACTGCCTAAAAGCTCTTTAAGCTTTAGTCTAATGGTCCACATAATGGGAAACATTAAATTCACTTTAGCATTTATCCCTCTAGTGTTTCCAAACACAGGTCCCAGTTTTGCCAACACTTCATGGATGTTTAAAGTTTAGCAGCTGAAGAGTCCCATATGTCCGTCACAGGGAAATAACAGAACATCGATTTGAAGGAGTCCTGGGCTAGAAAGGAATTCTTTCCAAATTAAGTTGAAAGCACTCATGCATACACCTGTGTGTGGAGATCGAGGTGGATTTAGGACTGTTCCTGTGGATGAAAAAACGTGAAATGCAAGAAAAAAATCCCACCACCACCCCAGGGTCTCCTCTGCTCTGGCATTGTAACACGCTTCCTTGGTTTTAATAGCTCCTGCAATACAGTACCAGCGTAGGGAGTTTGTCACTTAAGAAGGGAAGCAATGGAAAGGGCAACTTCTTAACAGAATGTTTTCTGAGTTGGGGTGGGCTGTGAATACTGATGCCGCCTGACAGAAGGACTGCTTTCAGTAAGTGGAGGGGGATTTTACGTGGTGGGATATGATCACTGTGTCTGTAACAGATGAGTGGCACTGCTAGAATACAGCCTGGAGTATTTCAGAGAGGAGGAAGCAGCTGAAGAGATTTCTTGGATGTGGAAAGCAGAAGTACTGAAAATAGAAGCAGTGTTTGTTTGATGTCTTGCCTCTGATACAAATCCTAGGTGTTTTCCTTTAATTCCACATAAGAAAATCAAGATGACCACTGTTACATTCATTCTTCAAGTTTTGTACACTGAAAGCCTTTTCCAGATGATGATAAATGTGGCTGTTTGCACAGCATTAGGCTGAGACCCTCAAAGTACGCCAGTGCCCTCCTTTCCCATTTGTAGGATCTGCAGCATTTGGCAAGGTACCAAAAAGCTATGGAAGGCATTAAAACTTTGGGGTTACTACCACTGGTATCCAGTAAGGCTGAAAGTAGCATAAGCAGTACTATTTCCGGCGGTGCTTTTGTAGCTTATTCTGAAGCACAGGCTACTGATGACTGCTGCCCCGTCGTATCATATTTAATTCTTTCCTTCTGTCTTTCAGAGCTCGTTCTATTGCCTACACTCTGCTACTTATTCCTGCCCGTTTTCACCCTGCCTTTTATCTCAGCGTCCTGCTACCTCACACCTACCAGCTCTGTGCAATCCATCATTTTACATTCTGTACTTCAACAAGCCTTGCAATTAAGCAGCTGAATTAATCTTTCTTTGCAGCTCTCCTCTTTCTAGTGACTCCTTTTACTGCCTGTTAATCAATCAATCCTCAGTGCATCCCTCTCTGTATTTATTCCTGTGTTTCTTCTTTTGTTTGTGTTGCTCATCTCATACTGAAACTGTAACAAGGTAAAGACTTCGCACATGGTGTGCTCAAAATGTTTAATATTGTGTCTTGCATTAAAATGCCTGAGCTCAGACCGTCTGGAGATAGTGATACTAAGAATCTGAGATTAAGGGGATAGAGGGAAGAGACCCCTGTATTTAGTCTGGTGTTTGTTTTGTTTGTGCATCTGTATCGTGCCTGTTTGTTCTGGAGTGGAATTTTAAGGGGAGTTTGTCATAGGATATATCAAAATAATGATTGCAAGCAGTTACATTTTCTCTGGAAATTTTGACGGCTGTTTCGTGGCCCTAATTGAGGTGGGGTTTTGTACTGTGCACTACAGTACATGCTAAGTGGAGGTAAGTCGTGTTTAGACTATCTGAAGTTTGTTGGAATATTTTTCTCAGTCCCATATTGAAGAGTGTCGCTCACTGACTCCTTTATTTTCCTTCCTTCTGGTCTAATTTGAAGGAAGTGAGTAAAGGAGAAGTTAACCTTTGTTTCTGTCTATCCTTGCAGACTTCACCATCTAGAAATGCCTCCCTTCCATATAAAACTCGGTTACCATGTATGGTGCCAGCCTCCGCTCTCAGCAGTAGGGGCTACAGCGCACATTCTAAAATACTGGATTATGTGCAAGAGCCGGACTCTTCCTTCCATCCGGTTTTATCATTCCCTTCAGGTAAGTTACGCCATGACTCTAACAGAGGGTGCTTGTGCTGGTGAGAGCTGTAGAGTTCAGGGGCTAACTTTTCTTTTGAGAGATTTTTAGAACTTAGTTCTCATACAGAAAACCTCACACTGGCAAAATACATGAGTTTAGACTGAATGAAAATCTTAACTTCATCCTGACATTCGAAAAACACACCTTCGAGGTTTCCCATGTGACTACAACCAAGAAAGACTGGTGAGGGAAAAGGTGGGGTTTGTGTGTGCCATGGTGTCTGATTGGTCAGCGTAAGTCCCTGAGATGGTGCTTTTGCCAACACGCTGCCTACCTTGGTTGTGTTGTCTTCAAAAGCAGCTTTCAGTTCGGGCCCTTTGAGCTATGTCCAAAATGCTTTATTTAGATTTTCTAATTGTTTTTGTGATAGTCAGCCTTCTTGATGATCTTTGAAGTTTATGGTTTCTGTCATCTGATTCTTTAATCTTTTCGAACAGTAATGCAGATGGTTTTTGTGACTCAGCCCTGAAACTGGTGCAGGTACCACTTGACAGCATTCACGGCTTCAAAATAGCATATTAAATGCTGTTATCAGCAGAAGGGATTCATGCTATTGGATTTCGGGGTTTTTTCGAATTTTAGGAAAAACCTCTTTGAGGTAGTTGCTGACCACTACAGCAGTTCTGCTGTTTGGGGGAAGAGGAGTGCTGCTTTGCCACAAAATAATCCTGAACATGAGTCTGGGACTTCCACTGTTTGAGGCTTTAATCAAACCCACTGTCTTTCCTCAGTGGCAGTGTAGGCACTGCAGCCTGGTATTAGGAAATCAGGGATTAAAGTAAGTCTTGGATTTGGAGAACTTGTCACTGGCCAGTGGAGAAAGACTTATGTGTGGACACAGAATCCTGAGATCTCAGCTCCTGCAGGTTTGCGAGGGTTTACATCGATGCATTGGGTAAAGAGATTATTTTGAGCAGCAGATAGGGGAAAACAGAACACTCACTCCAAGAGTGCAATAGCAAACATCTCAGTCAGGACTCTGCTGGGGAGGAAAGAGAAAAACACCTCTTAAATCTTTCTTCTTTACACACACTCTCCATCTCTTGCCCTGTGACTCTGACAGCCCAGCTGGTCAGGAGCCAGGGGCTTAGAAGTCTGTTCAAGGATAGTCATATAAGGCTATGCCCCTTGCGTTCATCCTTACCTTACTCTTAAGGGAGACTAGGAGGTGTAACAAGAATATGGACATTTTCTTTTCTTGAAAAAAGATTAATCATCATAAAAAAACCTGAAAGGCTTTGGATTGCATTGTGGCTACTGCTGGTTGCTTTGCCAGGATGGTGGAAGAAAAATATTACTTCAACTTCATTCCGGTACCAAGAACATCTTTCTTTTGAGGAATACTTACTCTCTTTTCAAGGAGCCTTAACCTTGCTACTAATGGTTGCCACAGGAAAAAAGAGTGCGAGACCTACCGTCTCCTGCTCAGATGCAGTCCTTGGGTTTGTTAGCCCAGCCTTGATCCTGAGGTCAGTAGAATCATGGAATGGTTTGGGTTGGAAGGGACTGGTATTTGTTCCATTTTGAAACTCTGGGAGTTTGATTTTTCAGTGTGCGAGGAGGGAGTCAGCTTCAAGATTCAGATGTTGTTCTCTTGTACCTTGTTTTTACTCTCAAAGTACTCGCTCTCTTGTTTTTTACTTTCAAAGGAGAACCATAATTTGCAGACCACCTAGTAAATGCCGTGTCGTGGGACTGGCTCACTAGTGTACTCACTTCTGGAAGTGTAATTGTCCTTAACGGTTCTAAATCTTGCCTTCAGAGTTTCCAAATTACCAAGTGTCTCGACCAAAAATACATCAGTGGTTGCAGCATCCCTTGAACATGGAAACACCTCTTTAAACTTGCAGCCCAATAACTGGGAAATGGTAGTTTGTATCTAAGAAGTTTGGGTGTCTGGTGTTTCTGCACCTAGCCTGTGGATAAACGGGACATACACTCCTGCCCTTCTGATTAAGATACAGGAGCTCGTAGTAAAAAAATCTCTGAGACATACAGGTGGTTCTCAGAGAAAAAAAGCCTAAACAGGAGGAATGTTTTGTTTATTTCTTTACTGAAATATTGTGACTTATAAACCTTTAGACCTTCTTTATGTCTTACTCAGAAGTAGAATAGGAAACACAGCAACAAAACCTTGGGGGGAAAAAACCTTTTACAGGTCACATTTAGTCTTGTGACAAGGTGTCTAGTCAGATCCGTATCAGATTGAAATAAATTGTTCTTTTTAGTTAGCAAAATATGTTGAAAGTTCCTGGCCTGGCAAGTCCTGAAGGCACACGAGGCTAAAGTTGTAGGTAAATAAAAGTAGTTTAATGCCCATCCTTTGGCCCTGCCTTCAGTCCTCATTTCTGCATGTAATAGTTGTCAAGCTGCTTCTTTGGTTGACATATTTCTTTCAACTTAATTTCTCTTCCTTCTTGTAATTTTGTTTCTGGAAAAGCTTTTCAGACAGAGACCTATTTTTCCTAAGCCTTCCTGTCTTACAACAGTGGGTAAATTCCTTACCACTTGAGATGTTTTGTAGACTAATTCTGGGTTGGAAAACCCTCAGGAAATGAATTACATTGCCCTGCCGCAGCCTGTGCCAGAGAGAGAAAGAACGAATGTACCTTGAAATTACCTCTAGGCTCCCAGCAGTAACAATTTCCAAAAGCATTAATTACTTGAACCCAAACGGCTGAACCAAAGCCTTTTCAGATTACAGGAAAAGTGCAGTGTGCTCTCCCGCCACGCTGAGTTTTGTGCAGGAGCTTGTCAAGAGGGAAAGACCCCAGTCTTGCTCTCACTCAATGCCCTCCAGAACTTGTTTTCGCAAAGAATAATTCTGCAGTAACTGCAGGTACAGACATAGTTTGTTCCAGAGTAAGACAATCTTGCTCTTTCTTACTTCGACTTTGAACACCACAGAAAGTGCTGTTTGTGTGCCTGCTCAGGGTATTGTTCCAGAGCGTTCCTCAATTTCAAGCCCTACGTTGATCTGAGTTGTCGTGTCAGCCTTTAGAAGGTTGTCTGCAAGTCCCAGAGAAGCTGTGGATGCCCCATCCCTGGAAGTGTTCAAGGCCAGGCTGGATGAGGCTTGGAGCAACCTGGTCTAGTGAAAGGTGTCCCTGCCCATGGCAGGGGGTTGGGACTAGATGATCTTTAAGGTCCCTTCCAACCCAAACTGTTCTGTGATTTTATGAAGCTCTTAGTGCTGGAGAGCTTGGAGCCCCATAAGCGTACTGCCCTGGCCAGCAGGTATGGAGCACAGCTTCACAGCTGAAATGGGCTTTACCATGACGTAACTCTCACTTCCCATTAATAGAAAGACTGGGGATTATCGTGTACAGCCCGTAGAGACCTGTTAGGAAAGATGACAGGTCTTTGCCTACAGCGTGCAGTGTACTGTACAGCACTTGTACAGTAACTATCTTGCTGAGAATTACCTTGCCTCAAATTTTCTTGTTTTACTCATGTAAAAATCACTTCTTTGAAAGTGTTGTCTGGCTGGCCTCATTTGGGGTATTGTCATCGAGTTTTCCTTTGGTCTCACCAGTTTCAGGCCATGTTTTCCTGTATTGCCTTGAGCTTGACCATGTGAAGATGCTGCTGCCATACACCCAAGCAGTTGGTCCTCGCAGGAGTTAAGTGAGCGCTGCCACTCTTCACGCAGCGAGGGACCCAAGGCAGCAATATTGCTCATAGGTGGTGGTACACGGCGCTGTGGAAATCAAATCCTTGCCCTTTAGTGATGGTACATCATTCATTGGCTTATAGGTTGCCCTCTTTCTGACACAGACCCTGTTCCGTTATTTTTATTAGATATTCCTCTTCACATATACTTGGAAACATTATTAAGGAAGGATGACATCAAAGGAGAACCTGTTGATACCTCATCTTTGGGAGTGGAGGTTAAAGTACCTCCAGAGAATGGTATGTAAGCAAAGTATTTTAATATTTGCGAGACCTTTTTTTCTTTCGTTTGCCAGTACTTTGTGCCCTGGGGAGGTTAAATTTGTAAACTTACCACAAAGCCAGTTGTTACAGAAGGTAACTGGCCAAGGCTTTAGGTGGAAGAGGCATCTCTTCCTGGATCGCAGTGTCAGGTTCTTCTTTGTTACGCTGAAATGATCCTGCAGGAGGGCACTAATACAAGTGGGGGGAGTTTGGACTGTGGGTTCTCCTGCAGACACAGGTGCCTGACTGCAGTACCGTTTACTGTTGGGATTCCTGTCAGAAGTCTGGTTTTTTTCCATTATAAATAGTTCAGCAGTTGAGATTGCTGTTAATTGCACCAATGGAAAATAAGTTTTGAACTTGATACATGCTTCTTCTGTTGTAGACTATAATCAGCATAATGTTCCCGTCAAACAATGGAGCAATGGCTGTTCCAAAACTCAGTCAGTGTCAGGAACATCTGACCAGCTGTCAGAAGGAAGAAAGAAAAGACATCTAAGTGAGACAGCAGTAGGTAAGAGAAAAATGGTATTGTTTAAGACGGCACTACTTCTTATAAAATACATTCTGTCCAATAGAGTTTGTTATCTCTGGGCTTTGAGAATTAACTTTGTCTCCAAAAAGGATACTGTTATGGAACTTTACAGGAGCGAAGGAATGGACTTGGGACACCATGAAAATAACTTGCTATTTTAAAGCGTAGTAATCCTTCTCTTTCTTCTTGAGTGTATATTACAAAAGTAGACAAGCTTCTGTATTTTATTTTTGGAATACTCTTAAAGGAAACAGCTCAGCTGTCCCACTGTGTTTTTCTAATACTAGGCGTCATTATTTTTAATATGAAGGAGTTTTTTTTTTTATAGTAGTCGGTGAAACAGACTGAATTGCAAAGTTATCTGGCAAATCATGTGCCCAACCAAACATTTACTATTCCTGGCATCTTTGGTCAGCTATGTTTCATTTGTTGGGTAATATCATTTGTGGTTCTGGTTTCCTTCCAGACTGTCAAGAGGACTTGTGGGTAGCCAGTGCTTATAATTAGTGCTTTCACCCTTGTTATCTTTATATTTTAAGCCATTGAATCTCTGCTTCAGCACTTCATAAATTAATAGAAAGTGGCCTGAAAGTTGTGTAGAATAATGTGATAATTAGGGATGAAAAAATTCAGTGTACCATTACAGAAGATAAATAGCATCTTACGGTCTGATAGCCTAGAGAGGTAAAACCTAAACAGATTCCATTACAGACTCATTTGTGTGAAGTTTTGGAAAACCTATGGCAAAATTCCTCACAAGACATTTGAAGAAAACAAATCACTGAATAAGAGGACAAACTATATTAGTTTAAATATAGTTTAAAATGTTCCCTAAGAAAGAATTAAATTATATGAATGGTTAGTAAAAATACACTTCTGGTGCATATCCAGGTAAAACCGCCAGTGTCATCTTGCAGTGGAGATGGAGATAGGGGAATTACTGCAGAGATGATTTAACCAAGAATTATGATCTATTTAAAAAAAACCAAACAACACAAACCACGGCCTCACACCGAAGGGACCCTGTTGCTTAGAAAGTTACAGGAGATGGTTAAGGTGGTTTCAGACAGACTGAAAACTGCCTTGGATTTAGATGAGGGTGTTTTTTTTTCTCTGCATCATTCCCCGTGTGCATTACCGTCCTCCCCTTGCTGTACAGTTCTGTGTCTGTCTCCGCGGGGGGAGCTGTGCCCTGTCCCCATGCCATCAGTGATTCTTTGTTCCATGCCACCCGCTCCCCTAACGAGTCCCTGGTTCCCAAAAGGCAGATGCTGACACAGCGTTCCTTGCAGCCACGTTGTTTCCCTAAGTGTACTGCCATGCACTCAGCAATTGGAGCTACTTGGGAGTAGTAGTAAGAGAGAAAACTTGCTATAAACCTTTTGACGTTACAATTAGTCTTCTGCCAGTAGTATTTAGTTCTTTGAGTTAATGGGACAAAAAAAGCAATCGTTTATCACAAAGATCTAGTTTCCCAATGCCAGAAAACTGCTGTGTGGTGTATTCGTGAGTAGCAGCAAAAGTTCTAGCTTATTAGTGCTATGGGTGTAGTACTACATATTTATTCCTAATTTGGGCTCTGTCTAGGAGAAATTATCCATGAGGAAGGTCAGCCCGATGAACAAGGCCAAAAATAAAAGCTGTGTGCCAGGGAGTTGCAGAGCTGCCTGGGAGATGAGAGTTCATGTCCTTGATCCAGCCTGTGAAACAGAGGCATTGGGATCAGCCTTACCTCTTTTTCTATGTTGGAATACACTGATTCTTTTTGTTAGCTGGTACATTAAGTCTGAGTTCTCTTTTCATATAAGAAATGAAGGTAGAAGGAAATCAGAACACAGGTGGTACATTCTGAATCCCTCTAAACGCTGCTTACACTGGGACTGAATGAGGTGAAACGAGTCGCGCTTTGTCTGGAGCAGTGGGCCACTGATAGAAGAAACCACACGTGGAGATTTAGAAAGTAACTTGGTTTGTTACCCTCCTTGACAGGTTTGGTTTATTATTTACCAGGGAAGGAACCGTCAGTGAGGGCTCAGCGAACTGGGACGTCAGTGAGATGCACCCCAGCTAGGGAAGCGCTGTCAGGGAACACTGAGGAGCATTCTTCTAGCTCTGATGGCATTCGAGGAGGTTTGTAGTCTGTGGCAGCTTCTGAAAAAGGACACAGGGTTTGCCCACATGAAGCTGGCTCGACGAGAAGAAATCCTTTGTAGGAGAGGGATGAGTTTTGTGGAACGACGGGATGTGTACACATGTTTGTTTAGATGGCTTTTTTTAGTATTCAGTAAATTGAAAGCGGTTAGCTTCTAGGAATGACTTACTGTTACTGTATGGAAAACTATCTCCAGTCTAATAGACAACAGCTGGTATGTGTTGTTTTTAATTCTTATTTCTTGTGACAGGCGAACGTAACGCTAGGCTTGAGACACTGTCCTTTCAACAGGCAGAACCAGAATCCCATAGCAGTTCTGCTGCCGTGACCAATGCCAGTGCGATGTCTAAGCCCACTCACAAAACTTCATCACAGGTAAACCAAAAGTGGATCACCGTCTTCACTGAAATACCAAGAGAGCTGTGCAAATTAATAATCCAAAACCACACACCTTTTACATCTAATTTAGTGTTAAATTATAGTACAGAGCATTTTTACAGTGAATGAAGTGGATTGTACTATCTAATTATACTAAAAAGTGTGGCCAGCAGGTCGAGGAAGGGGATTCTCTCCTACTACTCTGCTCTCGTGAGACCCCACCTGGAGTTCTGCGTCCAGCTGTGGGGCCCTCAATGTCAGAGGGATACAGACCGGTTGGAGCGAGTCCAGAGGAGCCCACAGCGAGTCTCCCAGGTCTGGAGCCCCTCTGCCATGGGGACAGGCTGGGAGAGTTGGGATTGTTCAGCCTGGAGAAGAGAAGGCTCCGGGGAGACCTTATAGCACCTTCCAGTACCTGAAGGGGCTACAAGGAAGCTGGGGGGGACTTTTCCCAAGGGCCTGTAGTGACAGGACAAGGGGTAACGGGTTTAAATTGAAAGTGGGGAGGTTTAGATTAGATATCAGGAAGAAGTTCTTCCTGGAGAGAGTGGGGAGGCACTGGGACAGGTTGCCCAGAGAAGCTGTGGATGCCCCATCCCTGGAAGTGTCCAAGGCCAGGCTGGATGAGGCTTGGAGTAACCTGGTCTAGTGGAGGGTGTCCCTGCCCATGGCAGGGGGGTTGGAACTGGATGGTCTTTGAGGTCCCTTCCAACCCAAACCATTCCTTGATTCCTTGATTCTATGATTTTGGAATAGACTGCTTCCACTGAACTTTGGCTAAAAATTGAGATCTTGTAATAGGGGATGTATCATGATTTAAAACGACGCTTTCTCCTGTAATCGAGGATATTCAGTTTTTGACCATGCACTAGTGGGCAGAGAACACGACCAGGAATCCTACTGTCTTCATGGCAAAGAAATTCCTTTTGTATCTTTCGGACGTCTTTCAGGAAACCACTTTCCATGTGGGCTGTTGTTCACTGCTAAATGTTGCTTCATTCCTTTGGAATTGTTAATTGTATCACACCGAGGAACCACTTGGGTTATGGGTTAGTAGGCAGAGTATAGGAGGTCATCTTTGTGGGCTGAACGTTACGAAGAAGGCAGCATTGACTTCCAAGTTCTCATGAGTAACTGTCACTGAAATCATGGAAGGGAAACTCCCACTGATTTCAGTAGGAGTTATGCCAGCAAAAAGTAAATCCCAGAGATGAGAAAGTTTTAAGATTTACTGAGATTTCCATCAGGGAGGGGGAGGGAAGTTGGGAGTCATTAAGCCACTAGAAAATGTGTGGAAGTTACAGACTTCCTCCTTGTACAGCTCTTATGTTTCTCAGCTATCATGTAGTTCCCATGATTTGAGCTGATGAATCTCCTCTTGTTTGATTATCCTATGCAGCATAACTCCAGGAGGAGGTTGAGAAGTGAGAGCTCCTACGATATAGACAACATTGTTATTCCAATGTCACTGGTGGCACCATCGAAGTTGGAGAAACTACAGTACAAAGAAATCCTTACCCCAAGGTTTGTTCATAACCCCCTTGCTTGCAAAGAAGACTCTTAAATGAACTTGAGAACGTTCCTGGAGAGCGTCGCTGACGTGCCGTTAGATCACTTTATAATATTAAGATCATCTCTTCGTGTGCTCAGGTTTTTGTTTCCGTCCAGTTTGTGTGACTGGAATAGTGGGAAGACTGGACAGCTGATAGCACAAGGGAAATGGTCTGATACACACAGCGAGGTGACAGATGCACAGGCTGTCTAAAAATAGAAGCGGGTTTATATCATCTTAATTGTAGTGATATTCATGGCCTTAAATGTGCCATAAGGCTGACGTGCTCTGAACTGTATTTGGAGGTTGCTGTCTTCTTTTTGTGTTATGGTTCCTGAGAAAATACGTAACTATTTTCAGTGAATTAACCAGAAATGGTTTTAGCATATATTTTTTTAAATTACCCATTAGGATACAGTAGAACAAACTTAATTTTTCCATACAGTGTAAAGCTATAAACCATGATTCTAGAGGTGTCTTTTTTTTAATTGATTTTCTGTGCTGTAATTCAGTGGCTTACTAGCGAATTGCCTGAAATGGCTTAACGCAGTTGTTCCGTAATTTAAATCTAATTTGCATGTGCCTTTATATTGTCTTTAAAGCTAAACATTTTATTAAGACTCTCTTGGATAGCTTAAAGCCTGTGTTGGGAAAAGGAACCGTTAGATGTGAGGCTGGGAAAGGAAAATCTGAATTTTGGACATCTGTTATCAGCACCTTAAATTTGAAATTATTTTATTTGAAGGCAGTTTTGATGCATAAGCAGTGTTGAAGAAGGATTAACTGACAATAGTGTGTCGAAACAGAAGAGTCATCTCTGCTGCTGAAATAATGAAACAACGTTTAGGTAAATTAATTTGGCTTTTCTTGTCTCATTTCTAGCTGGAGAGTTGTTGAGCTTCAACCTTTAGAAGGATCTCAAGCAAATGAAGAAGAGGTAGGCTGTATTTTAATTAAACCACTGTTTTTTAATTAAACTAGATATCATATATAATTGGGATAACGAGCATATATTTTCCAAAGTCACTGACTTAATGTGGTAAGCTTCAAATTTCAAAAATAAGGTATTAAGTATCAAATTGCAAAAATGTGTCTTACCCATCCTATTCAACCCCATGGTGGATGACAGAAATGTGAGTATATCCGTTAATAGTTGTTCACTTCTGCATTTGGCTCTTCTGTCCCCTGCTGCTGTCAGCGCTCCCAAAGGCTCCCTTTGGCCGGGCCCTGCTTGCCCTGCTCCTGAGCACTGGGATGCAGGATCTCCCAGTGCGACTGTCTCCTCAGGGCTACCTGTGTCAGTCCTCTCTCACCCTCTTTGATGGCCAGTTCCCGTGGTGTGCTGCTCTTCTGGAGGCAATTAGGCATTTTGCCTGAGGGCGCAGCGGGTTTCCTCGGTTCTCCTCTCAGGGTTCGTTTTCCTGCAAGCCTCCTGTTGGGAGAAAGTTTTCTTCCAAGGATTCTCCCTTTCTCTTGGGCAGAGATTGCACTTGGGTAGCAGTACAGGTTACGCTAAACACAGTAGACAAATTGAATTATTATGCTGCTCCCTCGGGGTAGAAAATACACTCTGCACCAAGGCATAGCTTCCTCAGAATTTTCCTAGGTCTGTAGCTGCCTGCTCCGTGGAAATGAACCTTTCCTTTCAGACAGCACCATGCTCTCGGGTCACTACCTGGTGCAGTTGCGCTCAGTTGGCACCATGCTCCTGGGTCAGAGAGAAGAGAAAAACTTAGTCTGTCCCCGCCTTTTCTGGTGTGCTTGAGAAATCCTTGTGAAATTTGGTGGTCAGGTTGATGTCGTCTCCACCTCCGCCCTTGGGTTTGGTATTGTCTCTGCTAGCAGGAAACGGGCCTGCTCTTCTGTAGCAAGGTCAGATTACATACACAGGAGAACTCTCCTGCAAGGATATCTAATTAAACCATTTGGAGAATAAGGCGGCAGCAAAGGCATGCTGTCCCTTGAGAATCTACCGTTCATTGTTCTCTTCGTCCTGCCATCTTCAGGGAAAAAGCAGGAGATTTCAGCACTGGTTTGCCTTCAAGGGATTTGCTTGAAGGACTCAATGAGGTTGTTTAGATTTCATATCCCATAGAGAAGACTTGTCTTACGTACTTTTAGCCTTTTTTGCTGAAGGGACTTCAAGGTGTCTCTCTATGAAGCTCAAGAGCAATGGCTCGTTTAGTAGCCCTCCCACTACATTTGTATTTGGCAGGACTAGCTGATCCTGTATGATTCATCCTTTGGCCAGGAAATAACTTGAGTTAACAATAAAGCAGCTTTGCCTCCTGCTGTGGTCCGCTGCTTCTGTACTGTCTGTCAGCTGCCGGGTAGAAGGAGAGAGGAGAGATGTCGGACAAGAGAAAAATGCTAAAGATCTTGTTTGTCTAAATCATCTTTGCCAATTTTCCCCCACTTCTTTTAGGATCGTGTTAATTGGTTTGGAAGTTTTTCAGGGTACTGAGAAAAGGTGGTTGGCTGATTGTAATTCTTCAACTTCCTTGCCTTGGGTTTTAGCCTGAGTTAGACTTGGTACTGAGTGAGCTTGAAAAAAAGACATAAGAAAACATAAGAAAACAGCAGCCTTACTTTTTTGCATTTTCTGCACTTGCACTCTGACACTCTGAAATTGTTCCTTGTACGGAAACCAAGGCAAGCTTCAGCAGGTCATTCGTGAAGGACACGAGGGGCAAAATGTGCTTCCTGCTTCTGTATGAAGTAAGCTTTTTCTTTGTTTTCCACCACATAGCAGTCAGCGGTGGCACTGTATGAGTTTCTTTTTGGCCTGTCTTCTGCATGGCTAAGTTCAAAACCTGTGGAGTTGTTCCTGCGTCAGCCAGCAGTTGGGAATCGTCTTCCACTTGTTGCCTCTTTTCCCTTCTCTCCATTTAAAGGCATTCACTGCAACAACCTGTATCCGTGCAGTAGACTTGCACCCAAAGTTTCCCCAAGTTCCAAAAAAATGTGTAGGTCCCAAATTTCTCATATTCTGCAGGAGTCTCACACTCAGGGAGGGGAACTCGGCACTTTGTGAAAACCAGGCCTAGTCACTGGGCCTTTATTTGAGTACAAAAAGCTTCCCTTTTGTGGTGTCTGATTTGTTTCTGGAAATCTCGCCTTACAAGGACAAACATAACAGATGAGCAATGCAAAAGTTAATCTGCTATCTATCTCTGCTCTGTTATTTGATCTAAAAATGCTTAGTTTTTGGAAGTAGAGCATTGTTTCCTGGTTTGCATGTGTGAATTTGCAGACTGTCCCTGCTTTAAGGCATGGGAGGGTGTGGCACGGGTTTTCCTGTTTTATTTTGGTTTTAATTTGGTTTGTCTGAGTTGAAGTTTCTGGCAAGGCAGGGTTGTAAAGTAACCTTCAAGTGTATTTCGTAGTTGTTCTAGTAATGGCAGATATTGTGGATTAATTCTGTGTGTAATTAGTTTTGCGTAAGTGTTTTCATGGCTTACGACTCAGCGTCTCCTGTGAAGCCAAAGACTGAAGCACACACTTTGTTGGTTTGAGAACCTTTCAGAAATATCCCTGGTGCCATTCAGCATTAATGCACAGCATCTTGTAGCTTAACTAGATGTGACGGGGGGGGATCCAACCCCTCGTTTGCTTTAAGTCTTTTTCTTTAAGTGAAATCATTAGACATGCCTCACAAACAGGCCTTCCTAATAGTCTTTTCTCTCAGCATCACTGCCAGATCCATCCCCTGAGGAATGACAGTTCTTTTGTCCTTTTTCAAACTAACCTTAGTGGGGAGAAAAAAAAAGACAAAAACCGAAAACTAATTTCTCCAGTGACAGCAACTTTAAATAAACCTAAAGTTGGTGGAGGAAATACATCAAGTGCTGGAAGGCGAGAGAGGGGCGGAGGCTGTACTGAACCTAGTAGGGACCTTTCACTCGGATGTAATGTGGTTTGATCCACAGAACAAAGAATAATTTTGAAATATGAAAATGTATTACTTGTTGGTCTTCAGTGAATAGGGTAAAACTCACTTTAACTAAACAAGTAGTTAAACCTGCTATCATCAGCTGTGGGAAAGGAACAGTAAGGCTTATTTCTGTAATTTTCAAAACTCTTGGCTTGGAGAGGAATGTGGACTTTGATTTTTGAAAGGAAGGTTGTTAAAAATGAAGTTTCTTCCCAGCATGAAAAGTTTTGGCAATTTGCTAAGGAAAGTATTTTCAAAGTCAAGTTTTTCTTTCAAAATTATCTTTTGTTTCCACTTCAAAGGAAATCTGAGCACACAGAAAAATCCTGAATTTTCCCTAAGGGAATAGCACTTTTGTAGTTCATAAAATTCTCACTTTCACGCTATACATCACTGACCTTGGAAAAATGGAATCTGAACCGAGATGCAGCCCCGTAGCGATGCCATCCCGGCGACAGGGCTGGTGAATTCCAGCGGGAGGAGGAAACCCATTAAGTTGGCTTGCATGAAAGGAAACCAGCAGCTAACAAAGTGGTTTGTGTTTAACATAAATAAATAAAAGCGATGAGGAGTCATCAAAAAGCAGTCATGAGATGGGCAGACAAAGCAGGCCTGTTTGTCTGAAGGCTCCTGTTGAGTGTTGGGCTGAGGAGGAACCGGGCAGCTATGGTTTTAGCAAGCAGGTCGTGTGCCCCTTTCAGATCACGCTGGTGTCTTCGGGATCCTTTTCACTGGCCCCGTTAGACTTCACCGTGGGGCTGTAGTTCACGACCCGCCACCTGGGCTGGAAATGTGCTCTCTGGCAAGCTGAGTACCACTGCCGGGGATGCTCCCAGCAGCATAAACGCCTTGCAGCGCTTTGCGGGGGTACCCGTAACGGTCACGAACTACCTCGGTGCTGCGACACCTGATTAGAAAGAAGGGCTTCTGCAGAACCTCAGGGCCGTTAGCCGTCTGCAGCGAAGCGCTTCCAGCTGACAAGGTAACCTCTGTTGTGTGGCTCTGCCTGGCACTGCAGCGAGGGCTCGGCGTTTACTGTCAGAAGGTAAATGGTGTTACTTGTGTAACACCACTGAGGCTTTTGCTTTATAGAACAAATCCTGTGTATTTTCCCTGACCCCCTGATTATTGGTATAATTCTTGTCCGGGATGGATCTGGCAGTGTAGCTTCACACCTCCTATGACCAGGAATTGCTCCTTCCTAGAATTTCTCTGCTTTTGAGTTGGGAGTGTCTGGCATAAAACCCATGGCTGCAGCACTTGGATGCCGTCACCAACTGTAGCTTTTTAGGTGAACTTTGAAGAGGTTGACTGGCGTGGAGCGCTGTGAAATAACTCTGAGCTGTGCTGGGGAGGGGGTCCAGTCAAGAGTTCAACCCACCATCTGGGGGATGAGGGGGAAGGGCACTAAAGTGCTCCTCACCCAGCCGTGTCTAAGGAGCAAACTTCCTGCTGCGCTGCCTGCCAACGGGGAAACGAAGACGGCTCTTTCAAAGTGAAGGTCAGATGCAAGAGCTGAGGAGTTTTACCTAAAAAGCTGGCTTTTGTTTGATTGCGAGCATTAGGGACGTTCTGAAGCTGCACCGGTGTCGTGCAAATCATTTGCTAAGAAATAGTCTCTTCAAAGCAGAAACGATTTTCTGCTTGGTTTCGTCACAGGAATGCAGCACCTCAGGTTTGCTGAGTTCCTCTCAGTGTGGAGCTATCCAGGCCCTTGATGATCTCAGACCTATTGCTCCCTGCTTAAAGAGCACCTGGCAAGTCCCGCTGCCTCCCAGCTCCTCCTAAAGCACTCTCTGGATACCCCTGGGACTTCTGCTTGTGCTTTTAATACTCTCTCGATTTGCAAATGCATACTTGTCCTCTTTATTTTCTGCCCCTCACCATAGAGAAAAATGTTAGTTGCATGGGGGGTATAATTTCTGTATCCATTCGGGTCAACCTCAGACGTGAAGAAATAAGTGACAGCATCCCATGCTCTAGCGTGCGTGTCAGCTGCGTGCGTGATTTTGGTGTGCCTTTACACTGCAGGCTCCCGTTTGGCGAGCAGAGCCTTGCAGAATTACATAGAATATTGGCTGCCTTTTGGTTCTGGAGTTGTCCGTAATTACGGCAGTGGCTATCCCTGATTTCATTCCAGGTAGAAGATCTGTCAGACGAAGCTTTTTCCTTACGTCACACCAAGTATGAGAAAAGAGAGCGAGCAAGGTGGTCGCTGTGGGAGCAGAGCCGCTGGCCCAGAAGGAATAGCAGGCAGGTGTATGGCTTTGGTAAGGGCGTTCCTATTGAACCCTTGGTGTCGGCTGTTGGCAGGGCAGTTCCGCAAACAGAGAACTTTCCAAATGGGGGCACTCCTCATTCATTAACTCATCAGGGACGGTATGTTTGGTTTTGTGGCTGGAAAGGGAAGGCCGTGCGGTTCAGAAGGGCGCATACTTACAGAAATTTGGCACATTAGGGACCTGGTAGTAGCGAATAAAAAGCTTACGCTCGTACTGAACACAGCTCTGCCAGTTCCTGCCGCTCTGTAAGTTGTTACAACTTCAGCCACCGAGTATAACGCAAGCCCTGCTTCCCTCACCTGACCTGGATGAAAGTCCACAGCATTCAGAAACGCGTTACCGAAGGGTCCTGGGCTGCACCGGTGACCTTTGCTTAAAATAGTTCGTGGGTGAAAAAGTTTCATTATCACCATTGTGCTGTCTGATGCAAAACTTATCAGAATTAGATATAACCCCTGAAAGTCTTGCAAAAAGTAGCGCTCATGACAGCAAACGTGATAAAGCTGTATCTGCAATTTGGTTCTGGGAAAACGATTCCCATAAATTGCTTCAGAATCTGCCAGGACAAAAAGCATCCTATAAATTCCGGGGTGGCTTGTCCTGCTGTTTGTCATATGCTTGTCTCTGCTCTTGGCTGAAAGTGAACCATGACACGAGGAATATATCTGCAAAGACAGCTTTGTTTAATGCAGGATAAAATGCGAGCTGAACCGTATTAAGGTATTTTAAGCCATTTTGAACGTAAAAAAAACCTTCAAAAAGTGTACTGGTAAGCACAAGCTGTAAATTACCATTTGAGTGAGCATGGGGAGCAGGGCGCAGACCAAGCACCGGCTGTCCCGCAGCCAGAGCGGGCTGTGCCAGCCCTGCTTTATCCGGTCAGCTCTTGTGGTCACCAGCCAAAGCAAAGCACGCTATGTGGAGACAAGAACCCTGCGATTTAACTGATCAGAATGTAGTTAGGAATGGAGTAGGGAGAAACTGAAGGCTTGGAAAGGAAAATCTGAACTGTTCCTGGTGATGCGAAAGGGCGGGGGGTAGCTCTTAACCCGTCTCTTATCCTGCACTAGATCTTACAGCAAAAACGCAGACGGGCGACACGGCCAAGACTCGGCGCAAAAAGACGAGCGCGGCAGCTCCTGCGCCTCGCTGCACTGCGCTGCGGAACCTGTTCCCGACGTGACTTCAGAAGCCCACAGCTCTGTCTGTTCAGAGGTTGCACAGCCCTGTGGAGAGAGCCAGGAAGCGAAGGTGGGTGCTTCCAACAGCTCCTGGGGCTGCTCAGGCCTTCAGTGAGCGCTCTCTCTAACCTAAAACCACGAACCTGAGGAGCACACCCTCCTGCCTCGCTGATGAGAACCTCAGGCTGTCGCCCGAGCGCATGTAGACAGAATGTCACGCTCCTGTTCACAGCTAGATTGCTGTTCTTTACGAATTAAGCCCAAGATTTGCCAGCAGGTGAAAATGTCGCTGCTGAGCACACCCGGCGCAGGGTTTAGGGGTGAGTCTGGCAGGTCTGGGTTCAGGGATGACGGATCTTTTCTCGGGGGTGCTGGCCAGAGCTCCAGATGGGGCTGATGGCTGTGGAGTCAGGTATCCAGATGGTCTGGCACCGTGGAAAAGAGCTTCCCTCTTCCTCTAGCGTGCCTGTTCAATTGTAGCTCTGTTACTAGTTAAAACCATATGAGGCCAGCTGACATTGACAGCTGGTGCCTAGCAGTGTCGTATTCTTCATCTGGAGGGCCCTGCAAACATTGTAAAGACAGACACCCATTTGTTACTCAATAGCAGATCATTCTGCACACAGCTAATCAGTTGGGACTCAACTGAACTCTCTTTCTCCCCTCTTCTCTCTTCCCCCCGGCCCTACTCCTACCCTTCTGCTTCCTTTCAGTCCGGGCTGTGGGAACTTCGAGTTTTTCCACTAAAAGATGAAGAGGTAGAAGCTTTACTGTGCCAAGATCAAATCACGAATCAGACTGAAATGTCAAGTGCAGCTTTTCCCAGCAACTCTCTTTGTGCTTCGTGCACACCCGAGGGTTTGCCAGACAATAGCCATCCACCAAGAAAACAATCTACAGAAGAGTCGGAAGACGGTGAAAACGTTTGCCTGGGAATCGGCAGTACAAGAAAGCAAAGGTGACAGGGAATAATGTGGTTCATTAAGAAAGCCAATTAAGGTGGAGAAAAGTGTAAGGTAAAATCTCTCTTGTTCACGCAGCATATGACAGCACAATTCAAAACCTGTATCTTAGCTGCATATAATATATTTTCTTTCTTGCTTTGTAACAGGCAGGATAAATCCCAAAGACAACACTTTCTTCTTCCCGAACCACAAGAGAAAGTAATTATTGCAAGCTGGAAGTCTAATATTCCCAGCGTCGGGAGTGGGCGCACATAAATTGCTGGCACCATTCACTTTCTGTTGTCATATTGCCACATTTGTTAATAATCATCCTTTCCTGGTTTCTGTTTGTTTTCAAATGCATTTCTGGTTCTAGCAGATTCTGCTGCAGCAGGAAATGCTGCCTACCTTCACCAACAACTTCAACTGAACACAGAAAAACTACTTGAAAGAACAGTGGGGAGAAGCCTTCAGATCGTTTTGCTGCGGGGCGTGACAGCAGGGCAGGGATCGGCCTCTCCGAACGCGTGCGGTAAGGGTCGGTGAGGGCCAGCGCTTGGAATCGAAGCAGGCGCTTTGGAAGCCTTGCGTCTCGCTTAAGTCTGCACTCGGCTCTCCGCAGTGCCGCGGCGTGTTCCCTACGGCCGCCCTCGCGCGGGCAGACACAGAGCGCTGCACTTCCAGAGTCGATGCATCCGCTGCTCAGGAAGTCGGGTTGCTGCTTCAGCCCCGTGGGCATGGACAAACAGAAGGGGGAGTCAAGGCAAATGAGTGACGCAGCTCTTGGAATACGAGCGGTGTGGGTCATCTCACTTCCTCAGCCCTCCAGTAGCTAACGAGGCTCGTGATATTTTGCTTTAATACGTCAAAGTCTTGTTCAGATTTCTGCACAGTGCCTTCTTAGAGTCTCGGAAGTATGCCAACGTTTGGTGACTGGCTGAAAAGGAAGGGATGGTTGATGTCTAGAGTATCAGTAAAGGAAAACAAGCCCCAAAGCTTGCCACTGGGAGTCCAGATAGATTTTTAATTTCACAGAGAGAAAACAAAAGCAAGTTGTTTAAACTTGAATGTAAGTAGCTTAGTTTGGGATGTATCTGCAATCTCGAGGGGTATTAACGAAGATTAAACACTGAATGTAGGTGTAATCCATCAACAGGGAGTTTTTCTGTGTAGGACAGTTGAAGGCAATTTTCTAGGAGTCTCTGGTTTTGTGCAAAACTTTCTTCCACGTGCCATCTGGAATGGAATGGCACTGGACAGATGACCCAGTTTTAGTGTCAATTTTTTTGTGTGTGTGTGTGTCAAAATAACAGGAATTACACACTGGGCATCTAAAAACAGTTCAGTAAAGTTTCAACACTACAACCTATTGCTACATTGTAGTTTATTGCACATTCTGATTATTTTTTTAAACACTTTTTTAACACTGGTTTGTCTTAAACTTGAATCTTGCCTCAATGCCTGATACAATAATCTTTGATGCAAGGTTGGTTTTTTAATTAAAAGTTATTTCTATATATGTTGTCTCTAGTCTGAGTTCAGTGGCCTTTTAGAAGTGAAGGAGCAGCAGCAGTGCTTCCTCTTGGCACGGAGACGCCCTTGGCCCAAGAATGGCTCTGTGAACACAGCGAAGCGGCAGCAGCGCTGTCGCCAGTGCTGTGAGGCTGACGTCCCCCAGCGTCCGAGCACGGGGGTGAATTTTTCCCCCTCTCTTGTCCCGCGTGTGCTGCTGGGAAAAGGTTTCTGAAAGGTACACGTCTCAAATGCTTGGCAGGTCTTTTCCGTGCCCGTATCCATTCGTTCAGACGTCTGATCTGACCCGCTCTCGCCCAGCGTCGTAAGGTCAGGGCTCCCTGCATCGTCCGGTCCCTGGGGCAGCGTGAGGAGTCTCTGCAGTTTGAGAGGGGGGACAGGCCAGGGAAAGCAGCCAGGCAGGCGCCTTGCATGTCCCGTCAAGGAATGCAGGCGCAATCCAGCGTTTTACAGCGAGGAGCAAGAGGAGTGTTTTTCCAGACTGGGAGGTGGGATGGGAAGGGTGTGAGAATCAGGCCAAGCAAACCTGTGTGAGAGGAGCTGGAGTAACCACGTTTGGTCAGCCTGGCAGACCGCAGAGCTCCTCAGTTGCCAGCAGTGGTGCCCTGTTAACCGCTGGGGCAGGTGCCAGCGGCGGGGGCTCACAGGCGGTTATCAATAGGCGCACGGGTGAGCACGTTTTCTCTGTCCCCTCTTCAGGTGTTCTTGTCAGCCCGTGTGTGAACCAGCCGGTGCCTCAGTGGGCAGCAAGCGAAAGGTCAGCCAGAGAAGGGCTGGGGAGCCAGGGTGCTGAAAAACAAACCCCTGGGGAAACTATAAAACCAACTATTTGGTCATAATCTCCTCTCTCATCATCAGACATCTTTAACCTCAGCCTCTAAGCTGGCGAGACCTGTGACCGCAAAGGGCCATTGCCCACAGAGCTGCCCGAGTGACTGCACGGCCGGAGAGCTGGGCCAGGGCAGGTCTCCCTCCCCACGCCCCGCCATGGCTGCTCCCCAAGGAGCGGTGGTGCGCAGGGTCCTGCCATCAGGTGAATGGCACGTGTGAGGGCGGCAGGCGAAGGGCAGCAGGGTGGGGTGGCCGAGCACGGGCCCCATCTGCTTTTCTCGTGCTGTCAGCCTGCCTCCAGCAGCCCCTCACCTGGCAGGGCAGGTGCGGTCATGCGCGATGCTTTTCGGGAAGCCCCAGGCTGCTCCTCACCCACAGCACCTCTGATCCGCCACCTTCTTGCGGCAGACCAGGCGCTGTGCCCTGCCCTCTCTGCCTTTACTCTGGGCATCTCCGCTCCAGCCAGAGGCACCCCATTTTTCAGGAGCCCCGTTTTCACTACTGTGACAGAGTTAGACTGAATTGGTCACAGGACCAGGCTCCACCGCCTTTCCCCGTGCTGCAGGCGGCTGGACCGAGCACTAGCACTCTCCTTGATTCCCCGCAGCCCTGGACTCCTGCGAGAGCTGCTGCCAGCGCCGCTCGTAACACGGTGCAGGTGGTGTTAGAGCACCACGCAGTACCAACAACGCAGCAAGGCCCCGTGCCCGCAGCTTCACACGCAGCCCTTGCCCTCGCGCTCTCTTTACCGTTTTCAGCTGAGACTTTAAGGCCACTTACGTTCTGCTACCTGCTGCCAAGAGGGTTTTAAACGCTTCATCTGCATCCAGGACCTCAGTGGAATAGATGTACAAAGGCAAACTTCGCAGCTCCCTGTCTACTGCGGCTTTTCCCTCGCTGGGGGATGCACGCTGTGCCGCCCCGTGGAGCGCGCGGCCGAGCCCAGCCTGACTCAGCACTACCGGAGTGTCTTTCATCCTGTTTTCCAGCGCAGACAGGCCCTTTGCTCTGGCAGATCACCCTGGACTCCTCCAGCCCACGTGACTTTATCACCAGATCGCGCTCTCCCCCCGTTGCTGAAGCCTTATCAGTGTTGCAACACCCAACGTTCCCGGGGCTGATCCAGCCCGCGGGCGCCGCGCAAGCGGCTCTGCTGGTTTTCACGTCAGCGCTCGGTTCGAGTCCCGCGGCTGCGGTGCTTCTGCTGTGGGGTTACGTTACTAAGCATGGGAGGATAGGCCTAAACAGAGCCTAACGGACGGCTTCTGTCCACGTACAGCAGCAAGAAACTGGCAGGGGGTTAAGCATTAAAGGAACAAGCATCGCTGCTGTCACCTCTGCGGACACTCTGCGATCGCCAACGGATGTGCGCAAAGCCGCTGCAGTGGTAGCCAGCTGCACGGACCCTCCCCCGGGTGGGATTCTGACATTTTTCTGCTGCGTGTGTAGTTTCTCTCACTCCTGACCTAGAGTCAATGGGCGTCCAAACACCAGATTTAAAACCCTGACAAAGAACAGTTAGCCGGCATGACTTTGGGCCATCCGCCCCCCAAAACTGATTAGGGAAAAAAAAAAGGCAGAAAAGGTGTGATTCCCCTTTCAAACCAGCTGAAGGCCAGCAGCAGGAGGCACGGACACCACAGCATGAAAAGCCACACTTACAAATCTTAATGTTTTCCCAGCCCGTGCGTGGCCTGCACTCTGGCTACCAGAGCCGTGACTGTTGCCCTGTGCACGCCGCACGAGTTCTCTCCAGTACAAACGAGACACTTCTTAACAGATCCAACGCTATCTGGACTCGTACCTTTCCTTCCTTTGGCACACCTCAACGATGGCATCAGTGCAGGAGGCCCAGATGACTCCATGTTTCCTTTGCTAGTTCTCAAATGGGGTTGCAAGTGGAAAACGGGAAGCGAAGACATTTGTTCACCTAAACCACAGTTAACCACACAGGAAAAGCAGTCATTTAGCCATTTCAGACTGTCTAGATTGTCTGACTGAGCCCTACCTCCTCCAAGGTGTGACCCACACTGCCCCGCAGCCCACTCCCTCCGCAGCCTGGCTGTGGGACACCTCGCAGGTCCTGGCTTAGAAGGGGCTGCGTCAGCATTTGGGTGGGTGACACGTGCCCAGCTTTGCCGCCGCGACAACAGATTTGACTTGAGCCTTGCAGCAGTGGCCTGGCTGTGGCTGTTGAGCCTCCTGGCCTGTTCCAGGGCGGCTCCAGACTGTTTGCCACCCTCTGTAATCACAACTTCACAGGAAAACCATCACGCAGGACACCATGAGCTACCGAAGGAGATGGCAATGCTCATCGGAGCCGTGAGAAGCAGGTTTATCCAGAATGGCCTGCTCAGGTCTTCCTCTGGTGGGTCACCCCTCTCCCCTTTCACGCACTCAAACAGGCCAGGCTCTGGAGCCGGCGCCAACAAGCTGAAGGCATGAGAACTAGTTGGCTTCGTAGCTGAAGGGCATTTTCCAGAACCATCTCCACATAGGGCACGGCAGCCCACTTACACCGAAATCACTTTGGCAGGTAACGTCCCTGTACGTCACTCTCTTAGCCAATGACTCAAGCACGTGTGCAAACGCAGGAGGTTGTGGGCAAGAGGTTTCTTAACTATCTGTAGGGTTCTAAAGCAACATCCTTCCACGAAATGCCAGCACTTCAGACAGCTGCCTTAACTGGCTGTTCGATAGGTACGCGAGAAGGTACTTCCCAGTTTGTGACCCGGTAAGTATGTCGCCCCAGCTGGTTTGATGTTTGACTTAATGTAGGTCAACTACTTCTGTGCAGTAAAAGCAACAAATAGGAACACGTCTGTCACCCGCAGGGGGTTTTTAGCCCTCTTAAACTGCAAATTTCCCAGACTTACTACCAAGACCGTGCATTTTTCACCGTCAGCTTAAAGGAGATTTACCACACTAAGGGAAGGGTGTTTAATGCAGATATTGGACAAGTTTTGTAGGAATGCACAGATCAAATGACAAAATACAGACAGCAGAAGGCAGCTGATTAGAGTCTTCCACAGGGGATTGCAGGGGGTGATGCTACCCTTCTAGCAAGCAAAACCTGACTGAGGTTGAGTTCAATCCAGCCCGCGTTACGGGTTGTGCCGTAAAATTAGCCTCCAGAGAATCAAGAGCCGGGTTCAAACCATTGCATTTCCAACCCTGAAAGACAGCCAGAACGTTTTTCACTGCCGCTTGCTTCATTGCAGCGAAGGAATGATTCCTCTGTTCAGCAGCAAGTTTCCACAAGTATCGTTCATCCAGCCCTCCCTTACGCACGAGAAACGAGGCTTCTCCTGCAGGCGCAGAGCCGTCGTGAACAGCCCTTGGGTGGGTCTCATCGATCCAGACAGCGCTTCTGAGCTGCTTCCGAACACACGTTCCTTAGAAGATTGATCACAGATCTGGGATCCGCGCTCTTCATGATCGCGCTGCCGGATACGATCATATTTGCACCTGCCTGGAAGACAAACACCCGCTCAGTAACATGGAACAGACCCACTTCTTGAGGGTCTCCTGCTGCAAACTCCCCTGCTGCAAAACGCATGCAGAAGTAGGGAATTCCAGGCAGGTGGGCAAACACGCACTGCTCGTGGGACAGGGGTAAGGTACCTCTAACCACAACCCCAAATCAAGTTCAGGAAAGCCTGCTTTTCTCCCAGACAGGTGATTTCTTCATCACCGCTCCCATCTACCCCAGCATGCACGACACAAACAACTGCCCCAGCTTGGGGGAGGCTTCAGCAGCCACTATTAAAGGCAGCTGAGACCACATGTGGATTTTAAGCGTGTTTTGCTGTTCCCTCTGAAGACAAACGGTCAAAATGCAATTCCTCCTCAGCTTTACTTTCAGAGGGATGCAGAGTGAGTGTGAGAATAAACTCACTGAATGAACGCTTACCTCTGCACACTTATGGATGGTGTCAGGCCCAACTCCTCCATCCACTTCGATATCCAGCGAGGGAAACTGCGTCCGCAGCCACTGAACCTGGGAAACAGCACAGAGAGGTTGGCCCCACATCCACGCTCGGCTGCTGTGGTGACATCACGCTTCGTACGCACCCAGACAGGGCCTGTTCACTTCACTGCTGCGCTCTGTACTGTTAATTAGCTCGATAAATAAAGAAGGAGAAAACGAAGCTTGCCTTTGGCATCATGTCTTCCATAAACTTCTGCCCTCCGAATCCCGGCTCTACCGTCATCACCAAAGCCATGTCTATCTGATTGGCCCAAGGTGCCAAGTGTTCAACCGTAGTGCCCGGCTTGATCGCCAAGCCGACCTGCAAGAGAAGGAACACAGATCCAAGCGCACCGCAGGATGACGCCACGGCCGGCTCAGTGCAAGCTCCTGAGGAGCTGGCTGGCTGGCTATGTGCTGGAAGAACACGCTGCTTTAAATCAAGATTCCTCGTTTTCCCAATAAAAATGGAAGACCAGCTCCGTGCACAAACAGCGTTCGGGCTGCAGGCGCCAATCTCTTTGGGTGGTCAGTGGCGGGTTTGTCATGGGCAGAAACACGGCGCTGAGCTGAGCCGGCGGCAGCGTGCTGCTCACAGCCCCCGCGCCAACTCACCTTCATCCCGTTCTCCCGGATGTCCTTGATCAACGCCCCGGGATTGTCCGTGGCTTCCAGGTGGAAGGTGTATTGGTTTGCACCGGCGACGGCCATGGGCTTCACCCACTGCTCGGGCCTGGCCA